ACCCACCCCCCCACACACACACACACACACACAAATACATTATATATATTTAAGCTGCTGGCTACAGTTAGGACACCATCAGAAAGCCACAAATTCTTTCTGTTCCGAAAGCAAAAGTCATGCTTTTATTCTGTACACGAATTGTGAGTTTTGTGTACATTTAACCATTTGTTGTTGTTTCTGGGCCTCTGTTTGCTTTTCATAAGATCCTGATAAATGACTAGCCTGTCCGACTGTGACACGTTGAACACCACACTGTATTCTGTTATATCAAACCCCGGGATTATCATAAAGGACTATTCAAAATAATGTGCTAAACTAAATCACACTGAGAAGCACTTTAATGTGCCAGTTCACCCAAGACCTTAATTTTCCTACAAGAATGTGGCTGTATGATAAAGACTGTGCGTTGTACACATAATTACAGTTCGTTTAGCTGTATGGTGAGGATATAGAATCACGCAGAGAGTAAAAGAAACTGCAAACACAGACATTTCTCTTCAGTCTTTCTTTTGGCTCGCGGAAATCTCATATTATTAAAATAACTGTCCACAATGTGCTCAATTATTTCCAGCTCATTGTTCATTTCCGTGTCCTAACTGTGGGTCAGGGAGGGAGCCGGCATTTGAGGCCTGGTTAAATGAAAGGAGGGTCTTTTCTCTCCTATATTCAGACTGCTTTCCATCAGTTTTGCCTCATTGGCCCCAGTGTAGGTGCTGCAGGAGACGGTTGAGATGAGAATGCCACAAATGGCCTGAAACTAATGTTGGCCTCCCTCACCCTGCAGATTTACAGCACTCTCCAAAGACTTTCTATTTTTTCTTTTCTTGTTTTTTTCAATCTCAGCCTTTCCCTCCTTTCTCCCATTCCCCACCCTCAATGCTATTCAGTTCCTCCAAAAAAGAAAAAAAAGGAGTAGTTCTCACCATCCACCTTAGTATCCATTTAACTCTAGCTGTTTTTCAGCCTCTCCGTTTCCACTGCACTTAGATCTGTCACCTCAAATAATTTGACAGGAAAGCTCGGAAGCATATTCCATTTGAGCACAATGGTAAATCAATGCCATCAAAGCCGCACCACTTGTGCTTCTTCATGACTGAACTGCACATGTCAAGGTAAATATGGCCTGCAGTGGAATGGAGCTCTTGCACGGTATCGGTGTGTGAAAGCGGGCATTTTTTTTTCTCCTGTGTTTCAAAAGCAGCTTTTAAAAACTGAAACAGGGTGATGCAATCTCAGGTTGAAGACCGAAGATGAAAGCGGCTTTGGATTACCATCAGCTTACTTACACGATACTGCAAGCGTATGAATTGATTGACTTATTAAAACTGAATCATGTTATTATTTAGAATTAAATCAGAGTGTACTTTGCTTTATACAAGATGTGTAACTGGATCAGTCGGTGCCACTGATTAATCAAATATCCCACCACAGCAGAGGTACATTAGTCAGTCATTGTACTCTGTGTCATGCTGCCAGTTCTTTCTCCACTCTCAGTGAATCAAAGTAAAACCCACCACACACCACTTTGGGCATGTTATTTGCATCATTTGATTGCCGCAAAGTGGTAATTACACACTGAGGGTTAATTGGTCTTTTTTAAACCTGATGAACCTGCTTATGTGAAGACTTGAGAGTAGAAACACAAGAGAAGAAAAACTCAAACAGTCTTCCAGCACAGGAGAGCTATTGTGTCCTGAAATCTGAAGTGTGTAAGCTTTAAAGGTTGTTCTTGGCCACTTCTGAGACCGGCAAGATAAAGCGCAGAATCCCCACTGCTCATTTCCTCGGCTGCCTGTCAGAACGGAGAGCTGTGCTGCAGCGACAGACAAACTCACAGAGCAACAGAGTCGCATCCTCCATGGTGCGCTGCTTTCAGCTATGGCTGAGCGCTGACACACACACACACACACACACACGCATATACAGTATATCTGATAGATGTTCACATACAGAAACGCGCATTGCACACGCAGGCGCACACCCACGTTAACCCGACCTCGACAGTGACACGGCCACACGCACGAAGGAAGCCCTCGAGGTTTAATCCAACCATCCAACATGAAAAGGGGATAAAAGAGGGTCCATTTCTCCAGCAGGGCAGCACAATTTGGTGCCTCCTGTGACACTCCACGGCCCCGCTTTGTGCCTGTTTGTGAGGGTGAGTGTTTCCACGCTTTGGTGGAAAATCTGCCCTCTTGCCGACACATTGGTGAAAGGCGATTTCCGTAATCCGGGAGTGTAAGCCTTGCTGTACAAATGGGCGTGAGGGACTTTGTGTGTGTGTGCGTGTGTGTGTGTGTGTGTGTGTGTCTGTTTGTGTGCGTCAGAAATGCCAGCAAAAAAGCTGCATGTCTGTGTGGGTGACTGATAAGAGGCAGTGAGTGAGGAGAGATTAGAGTCGCAGCAAAGAGCTACAAGAGTGCGACACCTCCATGAGAAACTTGCTTTAGATTTTCCTTATCGTTAATATTCTTTGTTATCTGCTGGTTGTAATTATGAAGTGGTTACATTCATATTTAGTTCAACTTTTCTCTTTTTTTTTTTCTTTCCCTGTTTCGATTGTGAGAATTGTTGAGTTTTACATTTTTGCTGTGACACTGACAGAGTGGTGGCTGAGCTGCAGTGTAAAATTGAATCCTGTTGGGTCCTTGGGGCAGAACAATGCGTGCTACCAACAATGACTACACACTAAGCTTAAACTGGTATTAATAAAACGCGAGACCAGAATACCCTTACCTCATTCAGTCAAGTTATTGACACCTTGTTCTAACTTGACCTCAGCATGTGAAAAATATATAGTTTGTCTGATTCATTTTATATCATCCATCCATCCATTATCTATACACCACTTAATCCTCACTAGGGTCGCGGGGGGCTGGAGTCTATCCCAGCTGACTCAGGGTGAAGGCAGGGGACCCCCTGGACAGGTCACCAGTCTATCACAGGGCTACACTTAGAGACAGACAACCAAGCACACTCACATTCACACCTATGGACGATTTAGAATCCGCCAATTTAGAATCCGACCTTGTTGCTGTGAGGCAACGATGCTAACCACCGAGCCACCGTGCAGCCCCATTCTATATCAATGTTCCCATTATCCTTCATCACAAATTCAGAAACTGGAAAACTAAATATGAAGAACTTCTTAACATCTGACAACACTAATCACATGTAGTGTAATAAAGCAGCAGTGCATTATGATGGAAACCTTTTCGCCGCTATTTTGGTAAAACTGTGCGTTTTTCATTGCCATTCTTTGGATAGAGAGAAATATATAAAAAGTAAGACTTATGGAGAGAGGATATTTTTACTTAACCCTTTCAATCCTAAGCATTTTTTTTTTTTTTGCTCCAGGAATATATTTCCTCACTGTAAGCTAATTTCTTTATTGCAATGTAAGTCTTGCACCACTATGGAAACAGCACAACCAGGAGAAGAAGACAGGACTGTGAAACATTTTCTGTGCAGCATGAAACACTATAATGCCACAAATCTTTTTTTCAAAACAGGAATTAACATGTATTTTCTTTCCCCAGTGCCCACGGATGTGCTCTATACTCTATACATCATGGATATATCATATGTCATGGACACAGCCTGCAGTTCAGCCAAAAAAAATAGAACTAAAAACCTGAATCTTTGTCAAATGACTCTTCCTGTTTCACTGAGGGGTGACGATTTTTGTTTGTTTTATAGAATCTGGATGGAGCAAGTGGCTTATCTTTAATATATTTTCAACTGAGACATGTGGAATAAATTGATTTAGGCTTAGATATGGATAATTTCCCAGACTGAATGGGGTGTCACAGATGAGTAGTTGGAGAACTGTCAGGAAGTTGAAAATCCAACAATCCTTTCTGCTTTTACAGTTTCTGGCTCTGACAAATGACAGATGAACATGCTTTTCAAACCCGATGGTTCAGAGGGTGGAAAAACAACCATACTTATGCGTGGCCCTTAGAATCCTGACAAGCAGCTGGATACATTTGGTTGAGCGGTTAAGACACACATGCTTCGCAGCGTTACTGGTTTGTTACCGCCCAGGCAGTTTTAATTTCTCTCTCTCACTGTTTGTTTTATACTGAAACTGCAAAAATATCAATAAGGGTTGAAAAAAAAAGTTATTAAAAAGTATATCCTGAACCATTTAACAAGAAGATAGATATTAGTGTCATCTTTTAGTCGCTTGGTATATAAAGGACAACTTTGCATATGCAGAGTTCTATATGTAACTTTATAGCTCTAGGGCTACATATACTTTCAATGAAAAAAGCTGAAATATGCTCATTAGCATCCAAAATGATGTATTAATGTGATTCTGCTTTGTTTGCTGCTGCATGATAACTTAATTAAACCCCAGGCTTTTAAAAACATTTCCTTAAACGAACATTAATCCTCAAAAGTGTTTGAGCTTCCCTCATTGAGAGCTGTATGGGTGTTATGATCAATTTAAATAAGCTGTAATCTACAAAGAGATGTGCTGTGATGTGAGAAATAGTCCACCAGCTATATTACAGTAACAGGTGCAGAAATTCTACTGAGAGAGAATGCTCCTGAGTAATCCTTAGATCTATTCTTCTGAGACCAAGCATGAAGTGCATATTTGTGTGCTTTCCAAGCAAGGATTATTCTTTGTCTACCTGTCTGTGGTGCCCAGAGGCACAGCAGACAAATCACCTGGCATCATGACTTAAATCAGAGACAAGAGCAGTGCTTTTCACCTGCTGGGTGTGCTTGATCGAAAATACCAGAATGTTGAGTCTCCTGGCCTCATGGTGATTGTAAGAGATATTACAGCATACTCCCCACTCCTCTCTCTTCCTTGGCCTGAATAAGTATTTTGAAAGAAAGTATGGATTCTAACTTGCTATTCTTTGAATTTTAGCTTTTGTCTGCAAAGACAAGTAGTATGAAAGTTTTGTGGTGCACCAAAGACACGGCGCATCAGGAAAAGATGTTCAGTATTTACTGAAATGATTCAAACTGTCACTCACCCTGACAAGCATGTGAGGGAAGGGTCCTCTGGAGTTTTCAGGCACATTGATAGGTGGAATGACCCAGTCTCTCTTCTGTCGCCTCAGCCCATTGGAAGAGGAACCCCTCTGATGTTTTCGGGGAAACTTGATAACTCGGGGTTGGGACTCCCAGACTCTTGACAGCATTTCTTCAATACCAATCTGGAAAGAAAAAGTCAAATGTATCATATCATGCCACATTTCGCATTGAATAACTTTGTGTTATGCATGTCATCAGTTGAAGAACGTTATTTTGCCATGGCAGGTTGGAAGATGAATCTATAAAGTGTTGTAAAATGACAAGGTATCCCCTTGCTAGAATTGAAACTAAAATGCTGGGTGTCATGCTAACAATAAACTCGATAAACAATTTAGGCGGAGTGTCAGAGGCGAACACAAGGAAACATAAATAAACATTTTTATGAATGCTGCTGCATCACATTTCACGAGGCCCTTGGCAGGACACCTGAGCCTGCCCAAGCCCTCGGCTTCTGCCTAAGAAAGTGAGACTTCCCCCAGGCTACATGGCTGGGTTTGGTCCACAGAGGTGCTCTGCTTTGTCTGCATCCCTGCACACATTTTTCAGATAAACATTTTCCCCTCCCATCCCCATCCTCTTTGTCCCTGCTGAAGACAGGAAAGAAGAAGTTTATCATCACATAAAACAGGTGCTGATAAAATATATGTGTAATAATGAGAGCCGGTTTTTAACGTGTGGATTCTTCATTTCCAAACGTCCTCACTTAAAAATACACAGATGAGCTTCAACATTAAAACCACTGCCAGGTAACATGAATAACATTGATTATCTTTGTACAACGGAACCTGTTCATGGGTACGATGTGTTGGGCACGAAGGGAAGAGTTGATTCTTGAAGTTAATGTGGAAGTTAAAGGAAAAGTGAGCAAACAAAAATGTGAGCAACTTTGTCAAAGGTCAAATTTCGGTAGTGATCCCAGTGTGCAGTGCTTAGTAGCTCCTAAAAGTGTCCAAGGAAGGACAACCAGCAGGCAGCGACAGAGTCACAGACGCCCAAGGGTCCTTGATGAGCGTGGGGAGTGAAGCTGACCCATATGGCCCGACCTCCCAGAGGAGCTACTGTAGCACCAACTGCAGATAACCTTAACGCTGGCTCCGAACACACAGGGTAACAGTGGATGTACGCCGTGGGTATAAGCCTGCCATTGGTTGCTCATTTCAGGCGCCTTTTGCTGTCTCAGTGTTACGGGTTTCAAAACTTCCCTCACTACGGGAAACAACCACCTCCGAGCAGCAATCTATGACACTGAAAATTTCAAATTTTGTCGATGTGGATCATGCAGTAAGGCAGCCCCGCTAGTTTTTTTTTAGTAAATTATCCATTTTAATTACAGTGCTCGTCTCCCTGTGTGCAAATGTTCCCCTAAAACAATTCCAACCGCCCACTGTTTTGAGGCAACGCGGAGGCCTGTATGCTTCGCTCAACTTCGCCCAAGTTGATTGTGACTGGTGTAGACAAAAATACAAAAAGCCGGGGATTATAGGGATTTTTCTGCTGTGAAATCTGAGGTTCTGGCATTTATATAGATGTTGTTTTGACATGTGCATAAACAGTCTTTCTTATGAGGGGCCGTAACGGACAAAATGCATTTTTACCTCTTACATACTCTTCTACTATAATCACCTGCACATATAAAATCAACTCTCACATAAACACACAAGCAACATCTCACATACAAACTAGTGAAAAAGGCACATACATACTACTAAAAGCCCACACATATACACAAGTCAACCTATATGCACTTAAATGGGTGAAAACAGTCATGTATGTGAGAGGTTACATATGTGTATGTGTGAGCATAAAGCAGTACGAATGAGAGGTCATATATGTGTATTCGTGAGCTGACACTAGTCAGAATGGGAACTCTGACGTATGTGTGTGAGAGGTAATAATGTCCCAGAAGAGGCGGTGCTACAACCCGGAGTGCCCAGAGCGCATGCGTGGATCAGGCTGGACGTAATTGACTAACGTTGAGAGGTAAAAATGCATTTTGTCCTATATGGCCCCTCATATTATGGTATGTGTGAGGAGAACGTATGTGTGTGAGAGGTGGATGTATGTGTATATGAGGAAAATGCATGTGTGTAAGAGTCCAAATATGTGTGTGTAAGAGGAGGATTTATGTGTGTGTGAGGAGAATATATGCAAGCAAGAGTTAAAATGTGTGCATGTGTGAGTGTGAGAATGAATCATGGCCTATACGGCCCCCTCACACTCATACACACCTTCATGGCAACGATGACCTCTTTCATCATGACAATGTGCCTAATCAAGCATCTCTGGGATGTGCTAGAAAAACTCCATTACTTCTGCTGCTGCTAAGGACACCTCTGGACACCTTCAGAGGTTTGTGGTCTCATGGTAGCATGAGGGGGACCAACACAGTATTGTGCAGGTGGTTTTAATGTTGTGGCTCATCAGTGTTTTAAGTGAGGAAGTGAGGAATCCAACAGAAAAATCAGTGTATGTTCTCGTTCATATTTTTGATGTACCTTTGAAGTCTGATGTAGGGATGTATGGATTTATATACAGCCTCCCTGTGCACCCCGTGCGCTGCCTCCCCCCCCCCCAGCAATAGCTGCAGAGAGAAGATTGCGTCCTTACTCATCTTGCCTGGTGAAATAAGGGTTAGAAGGTGTGTAAAAGACTGAGTGTTTTTCCTCGATCCTCTACGGTGTCCTCCTGTGTAAGATGGTTGTATTGCTGTAATCCACCTAATCCTATTGTTGTCTCTTCGCCCTACGTACACACACACACACATTCGCTGGCAGTGTGCCGCTGTCACCTGAAGCACAGTAGAAACCCTCCCGCTCTTCCCCACCTGGAACACACACGAGCAGCCGCCGAAACGTTCGCCACGCCAAACGCGGGGCCGGCAAATTCATCCTATCAATATACACCTGCCTCGCCTGTGAGAGACTGTAAGCTAAACCTGAGCAAAAAACGCTGTGAATAATTTTCATCTTTTGTTTTAACTCTCCGCACATTCGCGGCACGGAGACATTGGACGGCGAGCGGGTCTCTGGACGGCCTGGGCGGCGGGAGCGCGAAGCAGAGGCGAGCGGGCGGATGGTTAGAGGACAGAAAGAGGAACGAGGGGACCAGATGTGTTTCCCAGATAAGGCGGCTCTCGTTCCAGCTCCACTCATCCAAAACACTCACAGGTACCAACTGGCTCGTAGGGGAGGCAGGGTGTGCCAGTCCCCTCCACAGGATGCAGGTGGAATTAGTCTCTGTTGGTGAATTTGTGTTTTCTACGCTTGTGTATGTGTGTGTATTTGCAAAGGTTCATTTGGAAACAAAGACAAAACAACGGAAAACAAACAAGCATGTGGAAATAACAAACGAGGAAACAGAGGAAAAACAACACTTTTTTTCTGGCCAATGATAATGAATCATCAGGAGAGTGTATGTCAGCGCATGTGGACAGCTATGACACACATCGTGCCAGAACGCTGTTCGGCCTCAGCTATGCTCAGTCCAGTGTGCTGCTCCTATCATTAAGTCTTTATCTTGCCTTTCCCGGCTATCAGCGGAAAAACACGATGAATGAATAGATGCTCTATACTGCAATCTGCCTGCTGACGAAGGCCCGATGATTGAAGCGTTCAGCTGGTCAGGACCCAGCATTCCTTTGGAAGAAATGATGGTCAGGCAGAAAGACCGACATCGAAAAGCAGATATCCTTTATTGTGAGTCTGCTTGTGGATGATATCAGCATAGTGGCCGCATGTGACTGTCACGTTCAAACAGCATGGCAGATGACAGACTGTTGGCATTGTGACAGGACCAGAATAACAAAGAAAGAAAGAAAAAACTGGAACAAGCTCTCAGTGGGCTTCCAGGAAACTAGGTGCTTATTAGGGTTTAGGGAGTTTTTTTTCTGTGTGTTTGAATACAGTATGTGCATGTGTAGTGGGTTCAGTCACGCTTGTGTGCGCATGTGGGAAATCATGTGCCTTGATGCAAGCATGTGTGCATATGTACAAAAGTGTAAAAAAAATAATGCATGAACATATGTGAACTTGCCTGTGTGTCTGCGTGCCCCAGTGTGTGTGTGCATGTGCGTGAATACATGACAAGGAGTCAGTTAGTGTGTCCCCGATGTGCCGGGGGCTCCTGAAACCCAAAGGCAGGCAGGGCCAGCTGGCAGCTCTCTGCTCCCAGGCATGCTGCACATTGCTGGGGCATTCTTTAGGCCTGCAGTCCCCGAGCCCTGGAGCTGACATCTGGAGGTTATCAGTCTGACAAACAGACAGAGCAATACAATAAGTGTGTGTGTGTTCACTGGCCATTATGTGTTCAGTGTGGCTCTGAACATGTTTGATTCGGGTCTTTTGATTTCATTCTTTTATGTCTTTACAGCCACAGATCCCTTTCCTTGTTCATTGTGATAATAATAATAAT